TTGTCTGACGTATTTTTACACTCATTTACCGCACATTTCGTCATTTTTAGCTAAAATTCTTGAGCTGTTCGCGGTGCAAGTTGACCTTGACACTGACGGCCCGCCCGCTCGTGTAGGCCCTTTGGGAGCGCTTCAATTTGCCTCACTTAGCGTGTGCGGACTAGGTTTCTATGCGTTATTATTCGCTATTATATAACATTTTTATTTTGTAGAAAGCGTTTATTGAAACCAGATACAAATTAATACTGCCCTCCACACGAAAAGAGGCACAACATTTTTATCAAAATTTAGTTATACATATACATTTTTTTATGATATCAAGTGACAGGACGAACAAGCCGTGCGCCTGGTGTTAAGCGACACGTTTGTCCGTAACAGTTGCAGTGCCACTTAGAGCTTAAATTCGCAAAGATCTGAGGGACACTGTCACTGCGCCTGTCACCCTGAGACATAAGTTGACAAGGCCCATGTGCCTGTAATTTCACCAGCACCCTTACCCTTCAAAACCGGAACGCAATATTGCTCGCATTACTGCTTTTCGGCTGAAATAGGTAAGGTGGCAGTACTTCCCTGAACGAACTCTTTCACAAGAAGCTCTACTGCTATTAATAAATCTTTTATAAAGTTTATGTATGATTATGAATAAAAAATGTATTCAAATTAATGGCATTACAGACATTACTTAATTCGTTGTGATTATAAAGGCCTTTCAGGATTCATCTTCGTGTGCAAGTTTTCATTTAATACACACAGTGAAGCATCACACTATAAATACTATCTCCGAGAACTAACCCTGTGTTAAATTGTTGAAATAAGGGGGGCTACTCTCGATCTCCGTCCGAAACAATTACTGTCAAATAAATAATATTCGACAAAATGAAAAGACAAGTATCCAGTATGAAGCTTCATTTGCATCACGCATCTATTTATTTGGTCAAGTATTGCTTATTTGGCAGTAAGAAACAAAACCACAATCGAAGGATTACAATTCACTTGAAAGTAATGAAACCATTGAAAATAATTTGGACGTAGATTATTACATTTTTTTTCCATCCTCTAATCAAAATAGAAAAAAGAAATACGCCATACAGACGACAACTTCCTGGGCGAGCCTTTCGTAAATCTATTTCACTCTATTTTTTCTCAATAACTCTATATATATGTAAAAGATACGGGTTTTCACCTCAGACTGTGTCACAGTTAACACAATTTTGCAACGTTTACCTTCGAAATTCGATTAAGTTATTGATAAAACTAATCTTGAAGTCATGTTTGTGATGAAATTTGTTCAATTGAAGTTTCAAGTCAGCGAAAAACATCGAGTATATAACCAGAAATAGAGACGAAATAAGGGGGACCCTTTTAACTCTCGTTTGCGCTGAAATCACAAATTAGTAAACTGAATTAGTACAGCGCCAACAACTGACCTGTGTGTTTACGTCACCGTATATTACAAAAATATTCCGTATTTATTGTAATAAAGATAATATCTCTAACAATGGAGGCTGATCCAATCGGTGGTGTGGGAAAAACAATAAAACATCTAATTACAAAACAAACGGAATCACATTTCATCGGTAATTAAATATGTAATTTTGCAATTTTCGTCCAGGCTCAAGTTAAAATGGTCGATTTGAAATGAAACAATTGACGATCCCCTTCAAATATTTCCAATTCAGGCAGGCCAATCGGAGCGCAGTTGTCCAGTAATGATTTGGCAGAATAGTTTTCAAACAAATTAAATGACATCGTCTCTATTTCTGGTTATATACTCGATGTCGAAAAATAACATAAAAATTACCAGTAATTAATTATTTATAAAATTGTGCCATCCCTAACGATTTATCGATTAGAAGGGAGAGATCACAAACGTTTGAGTTCGAGAAGTAAACTTCAGAATCGGAAATAGATGCTAGATGAGATATGATGTACTAAATGAATATAAAATATAATTTTCTTTTCATCTATCATTACCTAAAATCTAGCAGTAAATTAACAAAATTCAAAAATGTTATTACTTTATTCACTTGAATCATACGTATCAATATAAACTTTATTATAAATGGCCAGGTAAATATTTTACATGACCCAATTACCTATTTACTTATTCAAGTTCCAATTAGGCGAGGAGGCTAGGAGCAAGCCTTAATAATGAGCATTGAATAAATGTTCTTTTGGTATGTCATCATTGGTGGCCTAGCAACGTCTTGTTATTAAATATTCTACGTCGAATTTATCTAGAGCATAGATAAAATATGAATTTAATTGAATGACAAAACGTGGTGCGAAGCAGAAATTTTCAAATAAAGGGCATATAGGAAAAATATGCTCTATTGTCAATTACTAGACATGGAATTTATATTCGGGTGCATTGGGATATCCGAAGATTGCCGAGAGACGTTAAGTTAAGGCTTATATAAAATGTGTCACTTACCGTCAGTGGGAAGTGTAAGCCAGAACTGCGACTTCAGCTTATACCAGAGGCCAGGCGGGATCTTCAAGCGATTTTGCTTATTCAGTGAGGCGGACAGGATTTTGGCGGCGTCCACGAGAAGGGAAGCCCGCCATGACGCGGCGTATATAAGTCGCATGGAGGATTGAGCTGCGGTGGAACATAGCATCGGGAAGAGGGTCTGGTGGCGACGGAGATTGTAGAAAGATATTCCTGAAAAGGTACACAATTATCAGTTGCGAAGCTTTTGAAGATGGTTAGCCGATATAGATCTAACGGAATTAACTCCCGGGTAGTGTTACCATTTCAAAATTTCAATAGTCCGGACAAAAAGCCTGAATATTTCGGACTTTTTAGTAACAAAATAAAATAGAAAATCTCTTTATAACGCGGCAGCAGAGACGGACAAGTGCTCGGGAACAAAATGTTTACTTCGGTATTACAAGGTGGTTATTTTACGTTTTATTCTTTACTCTATGCCGAAAATTCCGGAAAATGACAAATTCGGACAGAAGATCAAGAAGCCGACCATGTCCGGATAAATGATATAACCATATTCTCGAGATACGTTATGCAGCAAATGTTGCAATGTAAAACGTTTTTACAACGTCAATTTCTAACCTAACGTACAACAATGAAGGAAAATTCGTTATGAAACCTGCTTGTACCAGCAGGAAAACTTTGAAATAACGTGTGAAGTCCGCGCCCAGTACTGAGACGCATAATGGTTTGGTGATATGATTCGAACTGTGGACTTCTCAATTTAGGAGCAATGGTTCTCCCACTAGGCTATCACCGCTCTTGTTTTCTGGCACATGTTATTACTATTATATATTGAGATCTCTTTAATAACGTCGACAAAAGAGTCGTTAATACAAGGATATTATGTTAATAAAACAAACCAATCGTCCGCGTTTACGTCTGCTGTGATAATAACGGAAATACATTTATATCTTTTTTTTATAATATCAAGTGACGGGACGAACAAGTCGTGCGCCTGATGGTAAGGTACACGCCTGTCCATAACAGTTGCAGTGCCACTCAGAACTTGAAACCGCAAAGACTGCGCCCGTAACTCTGAGACGCATCACAAGTCCATTGCGTCTGTAATTTCACCAGCACCCTTACCCTTCAAAACTGGAATACAGTAATGCCAACATTACTGCTTGGCGGCAGAAATAGGTAAGGTGGGCGTAATGTCTAATCTAGTTTTTACATAAAGTACACAGAACAAGAAGCACCAGGACTAAATTTCTTAAGTCAAAATATATGTATTCGAAGAAAATAAAAATATCTTAATTAACGTATTATGTAATCGCACCACGTAATTGTTGTTTCATTTATAATTAACTAAATATAATTTTAAATTGACCGACTCGACCTCTAATCGATGACTTGCGTCATTATTTACTACATCCCGATTGCTTATCTAGCACAGCAGTTGTAGTGTCGGGAACGGATAGACTACGGGTTACCTAGAGCGTATGTTACTAAGGTTGTATACTTTTGCTTTTTTTTAATTGAATTAGGCGCTTCTTCGTAAAATTTTCAATCGTTTATATTTTTTTAACTAATGTAGATAAGAAGCGTGAAGGTAGCAATTATTGGTAATATATACTTCTGGAAAATCTGCTCCTTTCACGCTGAACAAAGTGGCGACCAGCCATCCTGACGTCAGAATGGCTGGTCAATTTTTTTTTTGGTTTCTCAGAATATATCAAAGGTAGCAATTATTTAGAAAAGGTAGCAAATAGATAGCAATTCTTGAATATACACTCAGTGCCAGATGCGACAGGCGACCAGCCATCCTGACGGTCACAACACAGTGCCACTGCCATGTGTTTCCACTTTTTTATTATAAAAATGAACTGTTGTTAGCTATAATGTAACTTTTGTCTAGTGGCGGAGTCACCACACTTATCGACGCTGAATTGACCTGAGCCCTTTAAGTCAGTCAAATAATCTTTATTTTATAGGTAAGTAAATTATTGTTAAATGCCCATGAGCAAGAAACTGTAAGGAGTTTGCTCTTTGTAAATAAAGGTTTTAACTATAGTTTTAAATCTCGTGACTGGCAAAATATCAACCGGAATCTTGTTATAGAAACTTACTGCCGTCCACTAACTAAAACGCGGCTAAGGGCAGTGTATATATTGACCCTAAAATGAATTAGTAACTTTGTTTAGACGAGTTTCAAGAACTGTCAGTTTATTCAGAACAGTCAGTTTATTCTTAACTGCCTCCGTGGCCGAACGTTTACCATGCCGGACTGCCACGCAGAGGCCCCAGGTGTGTGTGTCCATGGCACCCGCGACACTGGGTTTCCCTAGTGCAGGGCTATGTTGAGTGTGTGCGTTATTATTATTATTACTCATATTAATGTTATGCCAATGTCAGTCACTATTTTTCACAAAAATAAAAATGCTATTCTTCGTAACATAAATTACATTTTCATAAATATAGTGACGCTAGTGTAAGATGTTAATTTCTTTTGAACTTCTATTTCAAAGACAAAGGGGCTCAGATTGTAAACAAGTCCTAGAAAAAGCTTTATGTAATAAGGACGAAAAAGAGGTTGAGTTTCGCTTCAGCAAGCAAATAAGAGTTTTCTTCGCCTTTATTACATAAAGCTCCAGCTGATTCAACGTCGATAACTTAGTGTGGTGATTCCCTTAATGGGTATTAAGAAGAAGTATTGAATAGCCCTGAATTGTAACTTCCGGGAGACACAGACAACGGCAGATTATTCTATTCATCATTTGCTATACGCATAATAAAAGAAAGTCAATGACATAAATATCGAGTGTTGCGAAATTTCTAGTAGGGGGAACGGTGGGGGCGGAACTCAACTGTTAAGTTCCTGCGTACACTCATTAATGTATCCCACAGTAATATTGTCGCTAGCGACAGCGTAAAATGTTTGAATATAAAATGTTTCTTCGTCTTGTGACCCCGCTAGGGGTTCTGTACAATTTGTCATTCAAAATATAACTATATATAAGAGGCACAGTTTCCATCAGTTATAACGATGAATGCAGACAGATAACAATTTTGTTCCATCTCTTGTAAAAGTGTAAAAGACGCGATGAAATATCAATTTTGAGGGTCACGGTGATTGCAGTACTCTGTCGTGGATCAGAAATGTCTAATGAATGGGGTAAAAAACGTTGCAGAAATGCAGGACAGTCCATGTTGAAAATAGTAGTGAGGAGCCGGCAAACAGATGAATCGTTTCAAAGAATTGTGGTGACGTAAATATGGGCCTGATAAGGCACAAAGCAATGGAGAAGGCTATGGAAACGTGTTACACAGTATCATAAATGAGGAGTCATATCACAGCAAACAAAAATGGTGAAATTACAGGCACGTGGGACTTGTCAACTAATGTCTCAGGGGGCACCCGACGGGCGAGCGCAGTGGTAGTGCCCCTCAGATCTTTGCAATTTAAAGCTCTGAGTGGCACTGGAACTGTTATAGACAGGCGTGTAGTTTATCATCACGCGCACGACTTGTTCGTCCCGTCACTAGATGATTATATAAAAAAAGGAGAGGAGATTGCTCGAAACAGATGATCGATGGAGCCCAAGAGTTCTCGGGTGGCGCCGCGTACCGGAAGACGCAGAGTGGGCAAATTACACAAGGTGGATGCGAGCAGTACAAGGCCTGTTGAGGTCGAAATAGCGCTGGTATGAAGACTAGCAAAGCAGGACAGGGTACGATATTATTGGTGCCAGCTTTTTTTTCTCCTTCCGAAACAAAATTGCTGTGAAATAAGTAATACTCGAGCAAATCAAAATTATGAAGCTTGAATCGCATCCTGCGTCTTTTAATTTCGTCGAGTTTCACTTATTTGAGATGTCGGACGGAGAACGGGTGTAGACTCCCAGAGACGGTACTTTAATTAAAAAAGATGGGAGATATTTAATAACTTCATGGTTACCTTGAGCTTGTCTGTTGATGTAGAACTCCAGCGTCCCGCGCCACATGTCCACTCTAACACCAATGATGCTTCCGCGACAGAACCCGGGCGAATCTTTGGCAACGGTGGAGTTATGTCTCACGGCTCCGGTGTACGAGAGGCCGTAGGACTCTTTGTCTTGCCCGAGGAGCGATATGAACTGGAACTGGGAGTCGGAGATGTTCACCTTGTTCGTGCCGAGGCCGATCATCTGGAAGTAAAGAGGTTGGTTAGGTCAGTCAGCCGTGGGCTGTGATCTGCAAAGTGACTGAAAGTTTGGTTTGTCTGAAAAAACAAATATACGCGATTTAGTCACTTTCTGATAAGCGATTTCAATAATAGTTGGCTTAAAGATGAAGTTCAAACGAAAATAAAATGGTTATGGTGACCAAGAGCTGATCCGATGGTGGAAATGGCATACGAGACGAACTCCTCAACTACAGCAGAGTAAAGAGGCTAGGACCCCCATTCAGAACTCTTCGATATTTTAACCGGCTATTCAGAACATTCCGAATTAAACGTTCGATTCGGATCCGGATACGATATCGTTATCCAACAGCGTTTACGGAGTTAGTCGGTGAAATAGATTATAAGAAAAATGAAGATCCTTTTATATACATTTTTAAGACTTTAAAGGCCTAAAGCATAGTAATGCATTAGTGTTGCATTAAAATACTACATTAATAAAATTGAACAAAGTCCAGACTTTATTTAAAATAATAAGAGATTTCCAAATGCTTGCTTGCCTGCTTTGTGACAATACGACGTTCGGTAACTTTTATTCGATAACTGTCATTGACATACAAATAAATGGACGACGGGTCTAATACAAAAACCACGAAAAAAATGTCCCAAGTCAACCTATTTAAACGTAGTGACATGTAAAGGAATATGAAAAAGCTAAAACGTTGAATTTAAATTGTAATGTCATCGCAGTACTGCCTAATTTTGCTTGCTTCGCTGTCAGTCGAACAAACGAAGACTAAAGCGTGAATGACGCTCTGTATACCATTTTAACGCCCTATAAGTTCGGACACTTTTTAGCGCGGACCCGACGCCCATATAATTGTAAGTCAATGACAACTGTGTTCTGAATAACGTTTGTAGCCTTTGCCGGTCGAGAAGGTCGAGTAATCCGTACGGGTGAGACCTCATTTCGGTTCGGTTTCGAATACGACAGTTTGACGTTCAATTCGGGTGTTGTAAATAAAAAATGAAAAGAATTCTACGACAACTGAGTTATCGTAAGGTAAGTCGACCCCTGGGGCAGCAACTAGTACTGCCGTCCACTAACCAAACCGCGGTTAATGACAAATTATCTTTTAAAAACAGTTCCCTTGCTCGTAAAGCTGATGTAATTCCACCGGTTTTAAATATGTAAAGCGGGTCATAAAAAACGCGTGTGTTACCAAAGCAAATAGTTAAGTTATAGTCCATACAAATTCCATAACAGTATTATTTGCCATTTCAAATATGGAACTGATCGCCGCCGCACGACTCCAGCTAGTGAGCAGCGCGCTGTTGCTATTCAAATTTCGAACAAATCGCCGCGCGGCGCCAGTCAGTAGGCAGCGGCAGCGCTAGCGCGCTGTTAAAATGGCGGGAAAGCAACAGTGTGCATTCACAGATTGAGTTTATTTAAAAAAAAAAAAAACAGTTTATTTGGTAATTTAAAAACTTGGCTGCATGCTCTAGCGTCTTTGCCAACATTTTCACGCAGCCACGGTGGAAAATAATCCTCGCGCCATTTTTCTCAAATTTTCTTTTCTTTGTACTTGTATTGTGAATATCTAAAAATGACAACTTTCAATAATGAAGATGAGCAATATATAAAATGTTTTTTTTCTGTTTCCTCGCAAATGTGTTAAAAAACGTCGTACGATATACGTGCGTATTGGTTATAACCATCTTTACGCACTAATATCGTAATGTACTATTTTATGATTTTTTAGTGTGTTTGGACTCGACAGATTCGTTTTGACGTAGACTTCCATATGAGTTTCAGTTATCGTTGAGGATATTGCGATAACGAACTCCGTGACAACTGGTGCTTTTTTTAATAAAAAGTTATAATTAATTGTTATCGTGTGAGAACGGCAATATAAGACAAATGCGAACAAATAAGCTACAAACAAAACAAATTGTCGTTAAGAGGAAATCCATACGTCATGCTTATGAATGTAATTAATTAGGGTGACAAAGAGCATATAAGTCAAAAGTACATAAAGATGACCGAAAACACTGGACCGTTCTTATCACAAGCGGCAAATTTAATATAAACCTCTTGACCCTATACTAACATTGAAGTGAGCTTTTCATAATATGACTAATTAAGTATTGTACCCAATTAGTTATCACAGTAAGCATTAATTTATATTGTCTACGGACTGATAACAATAGATCACTAAATTACCGAAATGGAAACTCATAATCCGATGGTAGTTACGCATAATTGCACTATCCGCGACGAAATGTAATTGTAACACATTCCATTAAAAAAAAATGTATTTAATGAGAAGCGTGAATTCTACAAATTGAGAAGTGTGTGGAATCCCTGAGGGCTCTTTGTAAAATATTAACAACAACGCAGGACTATATTACTGCAAATAACAACTTTTGTTTCATAACTTTTAATTAATAAAATTAGTCAGGTTTTACTTTCGCACAAAAATAAAAATTAGACCGCTCTAAACGGTGAAAGCTCTATGTGGTAGCAAACGAATGCGTCCGCCAACTTAATTTTTAAGAATGATACACGCGGATGGCGTTACTAAACACTACCAAATACAGATCCAAAAAGTGTCAGATAGTACCACTAAAACTTAAAAGATTATTTTTGGTAAATTTATTACATATTGTAACAAGTCATGGAACAAAAGTTTTGTTGTTTATAATGTTAGTAATATCATTGAAAGTTATCGGTGTGGTAATTTGCACAGGTTGATTTTGGTATATTTAATGTTGGGTGGTTTTAATTAGTTTAACCAGTTACGTGTGAGCCAACAAGTAGTGCTGCGAAGATCTTGTATAGGTACATGTTTTGGTTAGGTAGTTATTTTGGCTTATATGCTCAGATTCTATTAAATGTTTTCTTAATGTATTGTTTTTCTATTGGGGCCGATATGTTCAATAATAGGCAAAATTACCTAAATAATAAAGAGTTAAAAAAACATTGTATTTTATTTTTAATTATTCCAGGAGATTCGTGGAACGTATTATTTCCATTTTAGATAAATATACTTTGAATAAACCGCTCTTTTTTTTAGAACGATTATTTAAGTTAAGGAAAAGGCATTCTCTGCTTATAAGAGTTATAAGGAACTTGAGGGATTCATGTCTTGACACATTGTCTATTGTTTAACATATATTGTTGTCTGCAAGATAGGTTAAGGAAATGTTCAGATATATTCATTGAGAAAGAAATATGTTTTGTTAAATACAACTTCCTGTATTCGCTTAAATGTCCATTTGAAAATTATTGTTTTTATCGGAAATCTATTGCTAATATATCATTTTTGTCATAATCTGTTATGTTTTTAAATAAAAACAATATTATGTGATAATTCTGCTTTAATGTACACAGGGTAAAGTATGCGAGACATTGTTTTATTTTTAAAGTAAGTAATACTGCTTTTAAAGGCTTGTAAAAAGCAGCCTCATCGGGCAAGTTAACCGACCAAATGTAAAAGAAAAACAATAGTACATTTAATTAATACACAATTTTTATAATGTCGATCAATCGAAAGGGTCCATTATAAGATTTAATAGAATATAATTTTATTTAAAAGCAGAAAAAAAGTAACACAGTACATTGACTTACAATTATATGGACGTCGGGTCCGCGCTAAAAAGTGTCCGCACTTGTAAGGCGCTAAAATCGTATACAGAGCGCGACACTCCGCTTTAGTCTTCATTTGTTCTACTGACAGCGCGATACTGCGATGACATAACAATTTAAATTTCGAATAGGTTGACTTGGGACATTTTTTTCGTGGTTTTTGTATTAGACCCGTCGTCCATTTATTTGTAAGTCAATGACACAGTATCTTATATTAAAGGAACATCATTATCAACCGGCTAAAAAAAAA